CCCCCCCCCTCCCAAAAAAACCACATACCAACACGCTCCAACCAGGCACACGCAGCCCCACCACGCTGCACCAACCCAGGTGCCCAAAATACACACCCCAAAAGATGCTGCAAGCCCCCTCAGGGAGCACCCAGGCACCCCCCTTTCAACCCATGGTACTGGGGGCTCAGCCCTCCCCACCCCAACAAGGAGACAAGTCATATCCCAGCCCCATCCAGGCATAACCTGCTTTAGTTTTTATTATTTCTTCACCAAACTGGAGCCTGGTTGGATCCAGGACGGCCACCCCCAGGGGATAAGCAAAGCAAAAGGGTGTGATTCTCTGCCCCAAACTCCCCAAATCTCCCCGGGGAGCTGCTGGAGGACACGGTCCCCCGTGGAGGACCACCATTAATGGGGTGGCATCAACATCGCTGTGCCCCGCTCCGGCTTTTCTCCTGTTCAGGGGATTGCCAGGAGGCATCAGGGAAAAAAAAATATAAATAACAACAAAAACAAAACCACAACAAAACACAACAAACCCAAACAAAAATCACAGCGGTGCTAAAAGTTGGGGGGGTGACATCCCTGCTCCCTGAGGATCGGAGATGAAGGGGAAGGGGTAACACCACAACCACCAAAATAATCTGCTCCTAGAGCAGGAACATGGTGAGACCCAGGTTGTATCTTCCCCAGCCGCTGCGTTGTGAAAAATAGAAATATAAATCAAAGAAAAGGGGGACAAAGTGGCCAAGAGGTGCCGGGCACCAAGGCGAGGGGGGAAATTGGGTGTCCCCAGCCCCAAAACTCTGCCTTCGCTGCCCCAAAGTGGTGGGGAAGGATGTCATGGGGCAGGAGGTGACGGCAGCCACCCCACAGCATCGCAGAGCATCACACTGGACCCCAGGCTGAGACCCCCCAAAAACCCTATACAGCCCCAAAGTCAGCTCTGCTCCTCCAGGCAGCCCCACCACGGCTGGAAAAGGGGGCACCAGCCCCCTGGGGACAAACGGGACATGCCCACGGGGAGCGTGGACCACAACAAGATCCAGGAGTGAAGGAAAAAATGGGGGGACCGAGGTCCCTGGGATGATTTGGGGAAGGCACCGGCCCCAAACCTCTTTTTCTCCTCCCCAAAAATCTCCTTATTTAGTCAGAGCGCAGGCAGCTGGAAGCGCTCTCTCCCTCCCCCCCCCCCCCCCCCCCAAAGCTGCTCCCCGAGGATCGGGGATGAAGGGGAAGGGGTAACACCAAAACCACCAAAATAATCTGCTCCTAGAGCAGGAACATGGTGAGACCCAGGTTGTATCTTCCCCAGCTGCTGCGCCGTGAAAAATAGAAATATAAATCAAAGAAAAGGGGGACAAGGTGGCCAAGAGGTGCTGGGCATCAAGGCAAGGGGGGAAATTGGGTGTCCTCAGCCCCAAATCTCTGCCTTCGCTGCCCCAAAGCAATGGGGAAGGATGTCATGGGGCAGGAGGTGATGGCAGTTGCCCCACGGCATCACAGAGCATCACGCTGGACCCCAGGCTGAGACCCCCCAAAAACCCTATACAGCCCCAAAGTCAGCTCTGCTCCTCCAGGCAGCCCCACCACGGCTGGAAAAAGGGGCACCAGCCCCCTGGGGACAAACGGGACATGCCCACGGGGAGCGTGGACCACAACAAGATCCAGGAGTGAAGGAAAAAATGGGGGGACCGAGGTCCCTGGGATGATTTGGGGAAGGCACCGGCCCCAAACCTCTTTTTCTCCTCCCCAAAAATCTCCTTATTTAGTCAGAGCGCAGGCAGCTGGAAGCGCTCTCTCCCTCCCCCCCCCCCCCCCCCAACCACCAAAATAATCTGCTCCTAGAGCAGGAACATGGTGAGACCCAGGTTGTATCTTCCCCAGCCGCTGCGTTGTGAAAAATAGAAATATAAATCAAAGAAAAGGGGGACAAAGTGGCCAAGAGGTGCCGGGCACCAAGGCGAGGGGGGAAATTGGGTGTCCCCAGCCCCAAAACTCTGCCTTCGCTGCCCCAAAGTGGTGGGGAAGGATGTCATGGGGCAGGAGGTGACGGCAGCCACCCCACAGCATCGCAGAGCATCACACTGGACCCCAGGCTGAGACCCCCCAAAAACCCTATACAGCCCCAAAGTCAGCTCTGCTCCTCCAGGCAGCCCCACCACGGCTGGAAAAGGGGGCACCAGCCCCCTGGGGACAAACGGGACATGCCCACGGGGAGCGTGGACCACAACAAGATCCAGGAGTGAAGGAAAAAATGGGGGGACCGAGGTCCCTGGGATGATTTGGGGAAGGCACCGGCCCCAAACCTCTTTTTCTCCTCCCCAAAAATCTCCTTATTTAGTCAGAGCGCAGGCAGCTGGAAGCGCTCTCTCCCTCCCCCCCCCCCCCGCCAAGAAGTCTGGGGTGGGGGGACGTTGGGAAGTAAAAAAGTTGGGGAGTAACACAGCATGAAACTGCGATTCACCCCGAAATAAAAACAAACAGGGAAAGGAGGCGCCGTCCTGCGAGAGGTTGTTTTTACTTACAGCCAGGTTTGCAAAGCTTCCCCGGCTCTAAATAAAAATTAGGAATAAGGGGGGAACCCCCAGCAGACAAGCCCCCCCCTTTTTGCCCAGCCCTGGTTACCTCCGTGCACCCCATCCCCAAAAAACTCGAGTCTGATATTGAACAGAACTGGGGCTGCTCAAAAAAACCCTCTGGAGATAAAAATCAAACATCAAGAAGCCCGAAGCGGGTGAAGAAAATAGTGGGAGGAGGTTTGGGGGTGCAGGGAAGGCAGAGCCAGGGGGTCCTGGGGTGACACACACCCCACAAAACCCGGGGACAACCGGTTCCGGCGGGGGGGGGGGGGGTTCATTAACGTTCATTAGCAACCGCCGTGATTTATGGAGGGAGGGAGGAAGAAACCCGCCGCAGCCAGGGCAGCTTCCAGCTGCAGCTGAGCCTGTGCAAAAAAAAAAAAATATAGGAGAAAATAAAAATATATATATGAAAAAATCTCTATAAAATACTCAGAAATAGGCTGGACCAAGGGCTGTGGTGTAAATTTCTCTCCCGAGCCCAGCGAGGCCGGGGAAAGCTGCGCCGGGGACACACATCCCTGCGAACAATCCCCCAAAAATTAAAATAAACAACCCAAAACATTTCTAAAAACACCACCCTTAAAGCTTTCCTATAGGGAAGGTGTGCGTTTGGTTTGTTTTCTTTTTTCTCTTTTTTTTCCTCCTCTCTCTCCCTTAATTAAAAACTCAAAAGAGAGAAACTAAAAAGGGAAAGAAAAAAAATAAAATCATTTATTACCGTTTAAAACCAAATTAGCGGCTCGTTGGGACGGTGTCGGACAAACTGGGAGCAAAGCAGATCCGGGCTGGGGTGAAGGTGACTTTTCCGCGGCCGCGGGGACGAAGGAACCCTCCGAGCGGGGCGGGTGGAAAAAAAAAAAAAAAGAAACAAATAAAAAAAGCAAACAAAGAACAAAAAAAGCAGTACCCGGCTAGAAAATAAAACAAAATAAAATTTTTTAAAGAAGTAGGAAAAGTGAAAAGCCAGATTTCGGCGGGACAGAGCCCAGGGTGGTCCCTGGTTCGCCAAATTGATGGTCACCGCTGGGTTTTCCATCAGTTTCGGGGCTCCAAGGGGAAGAAAAATCTACCCTCCTCCCCCCAAAAACGAAAAGGCGAAGCGCCCACCCCCCCCCCCCCAGACCCCCCCGGTTGAGAGAAAACCCGACCCAAGCTCTAGTTGAATATAAGTTTGT